CTTTCAGGTCTCAGCGTAAACGTCACATCTCATCTCTTTCACCACACTCTACAACCTTCTAACCACTTATGCCTGTCTTACCAGATGAACTGTAACAGCCATGCCTGACTTGATTGTCCTATCCCCATGGCACAGCACAATAGTTAGCACATAGTAGGCACTCAGTAAAACCTTATTGAGGGGGCCAGCCCCATGGTGTAGCGGTTAAGTGCATGTGCTCCGCTGCTGGCGGATCCTGGGCACCCACCAACGCACCAACCTTGTCAGGCCATGCTGTGGTGGCGTCCCATATAAAGTGGAGGAAGATGGGCACAGATGTTAGCCCAGGGTCAGTCTTCCTCAGCAAAAAGAGGATTGGCATGGATGTTAGCTCAGGGCTGATCTTCCTCACCAAAAAAAAATAATAATAAATAAATAAATAGGGGCCGGCCCCGTGGCTTAGTGGTTAAGTGCGCCCGCTGCACTGCTGGCAGCCCGGGTTCGGATCCCGGGCGCGCACCGACGCACTGCTTCTCTGGCCATGCTGAGGCCGCGTCCCACATACAGCAACTAGCAGGAAGTGCAGCTATGACATACAACTGTCTACTGGGGCTTTGGGGGAAAAAATAAATAAAATTAAACTTAAAAAAAAAATTAATATAAATAAATAAATAAAACCTTATCGAGGATACCCCACTCTCATGGGAGATGTTCATTTGTATACATCAACCAAGTCACATCTAGAGACCATAACAGGGAGAGGAGGGTTTGAATGTGCTAATTAACCATAAAATCTCCCACAGGGAACTACCGTGACTGGTCATAGCCTTCTTCCCATAGACAGCTGCCTCAGTCTCCTAACCGGAGAAGAAAGTTTCCTCCAATATAGCAGGGACCACAAAAGCACAGTCAGGGATAAACAGGTCAAGGGTCTAGGTCAGAAATGCTCATATTTCAAGCAGAGTTAATTATTTTCACTAAGTAAAGACCCCATCTTAGCCTCTTCTTAAACATTTCTGGAAGCTTGTATTAGTCTGCTAGGGCTGCCATAACAAAGTACCAGAGACTGGGTGGCTTAGACATCAAACATTTATTTTCTCACAGCTTTGGAGGCTAGAAAAGTCCAAGATCAAGGTTCTAGCCAATTTGGTTTCTGGTGAGAGTTCTCTTCCTGGCCTGCAGATGGCTGCCTTCTCACCATGTCCTCACATGGCCTTTCCCTGGTGCATGTGAAGAGAGAAAAAGCAAGCTCTCTGGGGTCTCTTCTTATAAGGACAGTAATCCTATCAGATCAGGGCCCCACTCTTATGACCTCATTTGACCTTAATTAATTCCTTAGAGGCCCCATCTCCAAATACAGCCACATGGGTGTTAGGGCTTCAACATATGAATTTTGGAGGGACGCATACATTCAGTCCATAACAAAGCTCAACCTCCCCTCTCCTTTAACCCAAAAAGTGCTAAGAGTCTTACGTTTCCTGTGTTGGTGTACCAGCCTGCTGTGGATTCCTGCCAGAAATCTGCACCAATACACATATTTCCTTAAGTGGTGGCTAGGTAGCTTTAGTTAGGGAAGCCAGCCATCTGGGCAGGAGGAAGAAGAGCCAATGAAAATGAGAGAGAAATAACTGTCAGAAAGCTAGGACTTATTCATGACTCAATGAAGGGAATGGGGAAGAGTCAAAAACAGCTTAAGGCCCCATAGGATGTGGCCTTATCCATCAAGGCAGTCTTATTTCTGCTTATTTCTTCTCCAATTCCACCACTTACTGACTGTGGTAACTTGGGCAAGTGACTTAAACCTCTCCTTGCCTCAGTTTCCTCATCTGTAATACAATCTCACAGGGTTATTGTGAGGATTAAAAGAGAATGCATGTAAAGTGCTAGAATAGGGCCTGGTGGGTAGTATGTTCTCAGGAAACATTAGCTACATATAGTTACACTTCCCAGTCTCCCGCTCTAACCAGCCTGCACATCCAGGATTCCAAGTCCTTGCTTGTGTTGTTACTTCTGCCTGAATGCCCTTTCTGGTCTCCTCCACCTACACGTGCTTCAACATCCCATTCAGGCCCTACTTTCTCCACAAGGCCTTCTCTGTACTAATATGACATTTTCCACCCACAAACCTCATCCTGATTAAGTAACAATGTTGCTTTGGTAGTTAACCATCTTATACCTTTATGTGTGTCTACTCCTCGCGGGGAAGAAGCTGTTTCTTAATCTTTTGTGTGTTTTTCAGTGTCTTGTATGGTGCTACATTGTAGATTTCAGTAAATCCTATTTGAAGAAAGGAAGGGGGGAAAAAATCTGGATTCTGGCCATAAAAAGGTCACCTGAACCTTGAAGCAGTGGTTCTCAACTCTGGTTTCCCAGTCTGCAGAGTGGTCTTGCCAGGCTTATCACAAAATGCTCTGAATATTCTCAAAACAAGATTATTTTTATACTTTAGTTCTAAAACAAACCCAAATCTGTCACACAGCACCTTCTAAAGAAAGGAGTGTTATGAAATCAAACAATTATAGGGGTGGCGGGCCGGCCCCGTGGCTTAGCGGTTAGGTGCACGCGCTCCGTTGCTGGCCGCCTGGGGTTCAGATCCCGGGCGCGCACCAACACACCGCTTCTCCAGCCACGCTGAGGCCGCATCCCACATACAGCAACTAGAAGGATGTGCAGCTATGACATACAACTATCTACTGGGGCTTTGGGGGAGAAAAAAATTAAATTAAATTAAAAAAAAAATTATAGGGGTGGCACAATCCCCAAAAAGTTTGGGAACCATTGATAATGCTTCTAGTGGAGTGGTGAGGAGAGAAGCGGACAGACAGCAGAAAGCAGCAAAGGCAGTGAGAAATGGCTGCAGCACATAGGCAACATTTACTGAGTGCCTCTTCCACACTGGGCACATACACTGATCTTGGCAACAATCCTGTCAGGGAGGTATCATTATCTCCAGATCTGCCTGACTGCCAAGCCGTGCCCTTTCCCTAATCCCCATTGCTTATTCTGTCGATGAGAAGAGGTGCTGCAATTAGAGATGTTGTGTGGCCAAGTGAATATGCACTCCTGGCCAGCTTCATGGAGATGCTGCTCTTTGCTGCCTGAGAGCAGGTGATGAATTTTTTTAGGGAGCTGGGAGGGCCTCAAGGAGACAAGGATAATGAGGGATGGAAGTTGGGGGTGAGAAGTGAGTCTCAGGCCTAGGAAGTAGTCTATAGGATATAATTTAAGGGAAAACAATTAGTTCTCCTTGTCCCCAAATATCTTCCTGCCCAACTTATTAAGGTGCTGGGAATCAGCGCCATTATGGTTTTGTGGCTTAAGGCCTTATTTTTAGCCGGCCTTTAAGATATATGCATTACCTGGGAAGGGGAGTAAAAACAAGGAGCCTATCAACATAGGAAGACTACTTTATCAGATTAGTCTCACCTGGAGTGACATGACAGGAGGGCATCAGGATAGGATAAAGAAAGACAAATGTAGGTTTAAAAAGAAAATAGGAAAGGTCCACAGGTTGGAATGTGTTTCTGAGATCCGGAAAGGGGGAGGGAGTGGCAACAGGCACCAGGTGAAGATTGAGGGAAATGGTGGGTGGAAGGACACTAAAGGTAAACTTAGCCCGCTTCCAAATGTTGCCTTTATCAAGCACTACCTGGAACACTAAGTATGCTTCACCTCCAGATACTGAACTCAAGGGTCACAAGGGTGAAGGAGATGAGGGGGCAACTTGGATTCTCGAGGAAGTCTGGACTATGACAGGCTACAACTATACCTCCAGCTTCCAGGAGCCACAGGGATGCAAAAGTGCAGTTTGGAAAGGCTTTCCCAACAAGAGGCAAGTGGCTCCTCGCCAGCCCCTGACACCTGTGGCTCAGCCCTGGCAGCTTAACAAGCTCCACCATCTCTCAAACCTCCTGGGAGAAGGCTCCTTTGCACAGATCCAGTCCACCCATCAGTGTAGTAATATATAGTTCTCTTCCCCTTGGTCTGGAAGGAAATGGATCCTGAAGGCCACCAGAGGGCGGTGTATAGCACGGACCCTGCACTGGGAAAGCACAGCTGCTACAGGGAAGGGCGGGCTCCTGGTGGTACCACCAACTCCCACGATGCCCCAGGCCCTAGACACTCCCCTTCCAGTGCAGTCCAACTTCCTCAGAGCTTCCATTCCTACCTCAGCAGCACCTGCCTGCCTGGATTCCTGGTGTCTGCTGTGTTGGAACCCAAAGGTTCCAGAAACACCCAGGCCAGGGAAGCAGGATCAGCAATAATGGAAGAGGGGAGAAGGGGAGGTAGAGGAAACCAGTAGAAACAACAACCAGGACTGGTGATCAGAAAGGGGCTCTGGTTGTACTTCCTATATGCCCTTGCTTGGAGAGCCTATTTTCCCCCCATATACCAGGGCTGAAGCAGGTCTCTGTGAGCAGCCCTTCGGGAGGGATAGGTTCCAGCCCTGTCTGAGTTCTTTCTATTGACCAAGAGTGTGTGGGGACTATCAGTTATGAATTAGCTAGAGATTCCCACTGGTCATCAGTGGGTCCAGTGACATCCCAGAAAAAAAACATCAGCCCCATCCAGACCCTGACACAAGGGTAGGATGGGGGCTAGGCTGATTCATGGCCTTGAGGACGGGATCAGGACTGCAGGCTAACAGTCAAGGGGCCAGAATTCTTTGAGTTCAGTACCCACAATGGCCTGAGCCCCCGTTGGAGCCCCTCTGAAGAGAGAAAAAATGCACAAGGGCCCTCTAGCTCGTTGAACCACCCTGGCCCCTCCAACAGTCGGTATTGCAACCGCGTGGGCAGAATGCTGGTCCTCTCTGGGTGGGAGAAGGGACTAGGAGCCTAGAAAAGGGTACGACTCTTTTGGTCTCTGTTGCTGATAGATTGGGATGCCTCCTCTGAGGGGAGGAAGAAGAGCAGGAAGACCTGCTGGGGAAGGAGAGAGGAGTCGGAAGTAAGCTATTGACGGGGTTGGTCCCCTTCCTCCCCTCTTCCGGAGCTGAATCACCCTCTGAATAGAGATACTTTCCAATAAGCTCCTGGAAGCCTTCCCTTTATTAGCCCACCTGTGGGAATGTCAGACGTCAGATTGGCTGGCTGTGTCAGACAGTGTTAACTCCAAGCCCCAGCCCCTCAATCTTGCCAGGCTGGGCAAGCAGATCATTATATTACAATTTATAAATAGAAAATAAAATAAAATAATCAGGTGGGGCTGAGGCACTGGGGAAGAAGAGGCGAAATAGTCCGTGTCAAGGGGTACTCACCATCAATCCCACCTACCTAGGACCTGGGATCATCGCTTCTCAGTTAGAGGTTGCCCCTAAACCAGGCAGTCCCCTATCACCTCCGTTTTTCTCCCCATTCCTCCCTCCCTCCCAATCAGCATCGGTTGCTGCCCATATCCCCAGATCTCAGCCCGCACGCCCCGTTTCGGCGAGCGCCTCGAGGTTTCTATGCCTGGAGTGCTCAGCCCAGCAGCTCCTCCGCCAAGCGATAGAGGAACCGAGAGTACCAATGCATGCCAGTCGGCTGGACGGCCCCGCCGGGAAGCAGCGCGCCCAGCGCGTGCAGCAGGCGCAAAGGAGCAAATGCGCGGTGCGCCCACTGGTGACTTTCCAGAACCGCGTAGCAAGAGGCCAGGACGTCGTTGACCAGCAGCGTCCCGTGCGCTGTGAGCGGCGCGAACACCCCCACCGCTTCCTCCCGCGCCACGCGAGCCACACGCGCCGGCCGAAGCGCGTCCCCGCCAGGCGCCAGCACCGAGTCCCCAGCGCGCAGCCGACGCGCGAACACCGGTGCAAAATCGCCTGGCGCCGGTGCCGGCCCTCGAGCGGCGAACACCAGGTGCCAGGGCGTGAGCAACAGCTTGCGCGGGGGCCGCTCGGTCTCCACAGCCACGAAAGAAGCCCGGCGCTGCAAGTCCCGGTCCAGGAAGAGCAGCACCGGCGTAGGCACCACCCGGCCTGCCGCGTCTGCCGCCAGCACCCAGTCCCCGCGATGCAGTTCCCTCAGCCCCTTCCGCTCGCCGCTCCGCAGGCGCACTGTGGCATTTCCCGGAAAGCAGCCGCCTGCCCTGACCGCCAGTGAGTTATCTGCAAGGGAACAAGCACAGAGAGGCTTGAATCAGGACCAGTGGTTCTAGAACGTTGATACAGATTCTCAAAGATGTGGGTCAAGCCCAGCGCAGACCTCACCAGTCCCGGGACAACATGCACATGTCCCATGGATCTGGCCCCAACCTGGGCAGAAATGGAAGGGTGGATTACAACACTAACGCCCACTTGGTCTCCCCTAGGGTCGCAACAGGGCAGTGCAGCCTGTTTCCCGGAGAGAGCCCCTGTGGGCGGACCTCACCACCCACCCCCTACTGTACCGGCTTTGACCGACACGTGGACGTGGTTGCGGGACTCGTAGTAGACCCAGTCGAAGCCGGCTTCCACTGCCAGGCGCGCCAGCAACCCATACTTATTGCGGTCTCGGTCGGACGTGGTGATGTCCAGGGCACGGCCTTCGTAGTGGAGTGAGTCCTGAGCGTGGTGGCCGTCCTCATCCCAGCCTTCGGTCACCCGCAGGCGCACTCCGGGCCACATGTTCATCACGGCAATGGCCAGCGCGTTCACCCGCTCCTTACAACGCTGGTGGGGAATAAGGGAGTCAGTCTTCCCACTACCACTACCACCACCATGGGGGCAAAAGGCACCTGGACGGGAAGGGTCAATTCCTGTTTTCCCGGCCCCCCTCCACTCCCTCCCAGCTTTTGAGTGTCCTGGGGAAGTAAGAATCTGAATAGGTGTAGCCGCCAATCTGCACTCCCTTTCCAGAGCGTCGTTGGAGAACTATAGGGTCACCTCTGAGATTGAGAGGGGGCGTCTATACCTAGCTCTTTTCCACTTTTAATGCCTGCCCCTCACCCCTACTCGTTCTGGGACCTCGGCTTAACCTGGGAGAGGGCAAGAGTTGAGAGGGCGGGTGGAAGCTTGGTCCGGGAGGGGTTGAGCAGCCTAGCTCCCCGAGAGGAGCCCCTGTTTGAGCCTGGCCCCCGCCCCAAACCCCGGCTGCCTCCCTCTGCCTGATTCATCTTTTGTTTCGTTGCCTTCCCTGGCACCGGGCATCGCTTCCTTCCTTCCTTCCTCCTCCTCCTTTTGGCCCCTCGCATTAACCCCTTCGTGGTGCGAGTGCCCCCCACAGAGGTGCCCAAGCGGAGCCGTGAGGGATCAAGGCTGCTGGAAAAAGGGCTGGGGTGGCGGGGGCTGCGCGAAGTACAATGGCCATTCTCCGGGATGACTTAACCGAGCGAGAATCCCGGGCCGAGGCCGGGGACGCGCCGGGAGAAGCGGACTCAGCAGCTCCATCCACAAAGGCGCTTTTCAGCCGCCCCGGCGCAGAAAGAGGAAAGGGCAGAAAGCCGCGCCCCCCATCCCTGCTCCGGCCTGCCGGGTCCCCTCCCCCAGCGTGGCCAGCCTTCCCAGTTCCTGCTAAGGTTCTGCCACCCTTGAGAGACCCCATCTCTCCCGCTCTGTTCCAGATGCAGTCCAGAAAGGCGTGGGAGAAGCACCTGAGAATAACGGGAGCTACCCTTGTGCGGATCTGGGGGGCCCCCTGCAGGGTGGGAGTGGAGAGGAGAAAAAGAAGCACCGGCTGGAAGCATGCACCCGGGGGAGTGAGACCAAGGTTATCTGGCCGCTCCAGTCTGGGAGCCGGAGACCTTGGCGCGCACCATAGCACGGACACGGTGGGAGGAGGCGCAGAGAGGGCAGCTTCCTTTTCTTCTCCCCCCTCCAACCTCTCACCTCGGACTTGGTTTTCTCCTAACTGCCAGAGGGTCACTTTCCCCCTACCCTTCTTCCGAGTCTTCTACACCTCCGCAGGGTTGGGGGGGGGGCAGGAAAAGTGGTAACTCCTTCCAATTTTTTGTCGTTTTGTCCCCTAAGGAGGCCCTGAGGCCTTGACCTGCGGGGGCAGCAGCCCCGTGCAGAGCCAACTCAATGGAGGCCTTTTGCAGCCAGGGTGTGGGAGGTAAGTAGGGAGAGGGGGTTCCCAGGCCTGTCAGAGCCCTTCCTGGGCCTGTCTCTTGTTTTGCCCCCTCTGCTGAAGGTGGCAGCCAGAGGAGAGGGCTACCATATTCCATGACTAAGGAGGGAAGGAGGATCCCCTTCCCAATGTCTGGGTAGGAGGAAAGCTTCAGGGCAGGAGCAAGAAGGAATTCTTTCTCCCCTGGACAGGTTTTCCTAACAAAGTAACCTGGAAAACTATGGAAATTAATCAGAGGAAATCCGTACCCCTCCCTCTCCCCCCACCTCCCCACTCCATACACAATTAGGTGGTGTAATGGAAAGTGTATAGGACTTAGAATCAGGAGTCCTGAATTCTAGTCCCAGCCATGCCACTAATTAGTTTTAAGACTTTGATTAAATCACTTTTCCTCCTGGGACCAGCTCTCAATGTAAAATGGGGGAGGGGGGGGTGGAAGAATGTGACTTCCAAGTTTCCTTCCAGTTCTGGTATTTGAGATCACTGGCCAGAGGTGGTCCTTCTCTTCCAAGGCATTGCTCACCTCATCCTAGGTTGATTAGGTTCTAGTCTGCAGCAGATGCTCAATACATGGTAGTTGAATTCATTTGAATTGTTTACTTCCAAGGAAAGTCCCTGAGCTAAGCTGAGCTTGAGGGATGCAGGACCCCTTTGATTCTCAGGTGGGCCCATCTCTTCTTCCCATTGGGGACTGTTCTTCACCCCAAGATAGTCATTTAGATTCTAGAATAGCCTTGCCCTGGTTCTAGGACACCTCCCCCATGCCAAAGACAATTCCTGCTCAGCCCCTCCTCATGTAGATAGCCTGATGACCTGACACTTGGCCACCCCTTTGCCAGCCCCCTTCAGTCTCTTAGGCCCACAGAGCTTTTCCACAGGGCTCCTACCCTCAGGTCAGGAGCCAGGCTAAGGGTAGAGCTTTCTCTCTGCTGCCTAGCCAGCTCCTGGCCCCCAGCTCACCCCAGCCCTTCCTGCCTGGCTCGGTAGCTGACCCCCGGTCCACGCCTCAGCCATTTCCCGTCTCGCCTGCCGCCATCCTCCTTTCCCCGCCCTCACTGTCTCTCCCAGCTTCACTCTCACTAGTCCCTCCTCCCCCTCCCCATCCCAGCCTCTCCCTGTTGGGATCCCTCCTGATCATTCAGTCCAGCCAGCAGGTTTTTTGTTGGGGCCAAGGTCTTTGAGACTAAGGTCTCTATAGATGAAGCCCAGCTCACCCTCACGGGCTGCTATAGAAGAGCAGAGGAGTTGGCAGTGCCCTGACCCAGGTGGGGAGAGGCCCTTCTTACCTCTGTCATCAAGCGGTCTGCTCCACTGTTCTCCTCATCCTTGAAGATGATGTCGGGGTTGTAGTTGGGCACCAGGTCCCGGAAGCGCTCGGAGCCCCTTGCCACCCTCCCTTCAGCTGGCCCACTGGCGCCCAGGGTCCGCTCAGGCACGCTGGGGACAAATTGCTTGTAGAGCAGCGGTACCAGCTGCTTGCGCACGTAGCGGCGCCGGCCAACCGGCCCCCGGCCCGGCCCGCAGCTCTGGGCCGGCAGCACCAGAAGTGCCAAGCAGCACAGGGGCACCAGACTGGCCGGCAGCGCCATGGATGCAGCGGACTCGGGCCAAAAGGGAACGTTCTTGTCCTCACCAGCTCGCCCGTCAGTTGGGCATTTCCCCAGGCACCAGAGACCGCAGCAGGCAAAGCTGCCCCCAGAGTGCCCTAGAGCTCTTGTGGCTCTGCGCACCTGGCTGCCGCTAGCTCTGCCTACATGCCCCCAGGGGGTCTGAAACCTGCTACTGACGGGCCATCATAGCAGGGAAGGGGGGTCGTGGGTGAGTGCCAGCCCAGCTTGGCTCTGCTGCCTGGCTCCGGCGCTGCCAGAACGCCCAGGCTCCGCCTTAAGTGGCCCCTGGCCCCGCCCCCCGCCCTTCTCCCAGGACTGTCCCGCCCCCTCCCACCGGGGCGGGGGCTCCAGCCGGTCACTGCTGGTCCATTTCGCGACTGAAGTGTGTCCCATCCTGGAAACCAGGCAGGCACCTGCCTAGGAAATTCTAGTAGCTTTACAGTTGAGGGCTGCCTGGATAAAGCATCCTTTTATCTCCAAGCCTAAGCTTGGCACCAAACCACCCTCCTCTGCTACTTGATTTGCATCTTTTGCTCTCCCAAAGCCTACCCTGGCAGGCCATGGGCTCTGCTATCATCCAGGAGGTATGGGTTCCAGTTTCTGCCCAAGCCCTTTGGGCATATAACCAACCAGAGCCTCCCTTCTCTGTGGTCCTCCCGAAACCTCCTCTGGTTCCATCTTTCCTCATCAGCAGTAACCAGGACTGGAAAGGATGGGTACCAGAGGACCATTTTCCCTGGTAGCTTTGCAGCCTTCTGCTGGGGGCTTCCCCAGAATCAGGAACAGAGCTTCGCAGTTATATCCTGGTTTAGGACTACAAACTTTTGTCCCCTCTCTTGTCCTGCCAAACACCCAACAGCTGCTTCTTTTCAAATGAGTAACTTGTCAATTGGAAGCTGCTGGAGGGCAATGGGTATCTAAAGTCATAGTCTCTAACAGGCTAATGACCACTTCCCTTGACCTTCCATCTAGGGACCTCTCTAGCCTTCTCCCTCTCTGGACCACCTGGGGCTCTGCCTCTGGCCACTCAGGTCTCATCTCTGAGGCTTTGAGCCCGCAACACTTCATCCACCAATCTACTATCATTTAGAAATCACTTTCTCTAAGAAGCCTTCGCTGATGTCCTGACACTACCCACCTCTGTATTTCCTTGAGAACCAGTAATTAACTGCTATCCATTGTGGTATGATATTAGAATTATCTGTCACTCTTACTAGACAAAGCAATTCTTAAGCACAAACTTGTTTATCATGTATCCCCATGGCTAACTAAGTGCCTGGCCTATAGTAGCGTGCTCAGCAAGTATTTGTGGCATCTACACTTTTTTTGTATTCCATACTCACCCCTCACTCAGCTCCATGGTTAGCACTCACAGCAACTTTGTGCATATTAGAAAAAAGCACCACTTCCTCAAGACACCTGACTGCCATTTGCAAGAAAATACTCATAGTAACTACACATACAGTGACTATGAGGTGAATGGTGCCCCAGAAGTTGTACAATGAACGACCTGCATGATGGTGAGCAAAAACTTTGCTCCTACCCCCAACAGCAGCAGGGCTTGCATAGCATTCAAGGCCCCGAGAGCCTCTGGAAAGGTGGAGTAAGGTTCTTCTCTGAGCTAGGAATCACAAAACCTTTTCAGGAAGCCACTTCTTCTACTCTACATCCAATAGTCAAGTCAGGGAGGAGTATGTGTATGGGGGAGGTTATCCCATTCCTACACTCATGCCCACCTGCCCCTAAGAACCAAGGCACAGAACAAGGCCGTGGGCACAAGGAAGAGTCAGGGGACCAGCCAGCTTTATACAAGGCTAAGGGAGGAGGAGATTCCCACTGCCTAATTGTATGGCCTGACACCAGACCCAAGTCCCCAAAGGACACTAAGAATGCAGATGGAGGGGAAGGGAAAGGATGGTGGGCAGGACCCCTCTGTTTCTCTCATTGGTAGACTGAGGACTGGTGGGAGCAAGGCTGTCCAAATAGACACAAAGACCCTTTAAAAAACCAAAGCAAACCTGGGATCAACTTTATTGCTGACAGTTGTAGCCTCTTTCTCCCTATGCCCTCATCTCTCCGATAGTCCAAAACCTCTCCAGGATAGCACAGTGCTTAGGTTTTGCTGGGCCAGAGGCAAAGGAGACAATCTGCCTCCCAAGTCTGCCCCCAGCTCAGTCCCTCCCCTGCCCCCACCACACCCTATTGCACATCAAATCATGTAAACATGGCTACGGGCATGGCCCAGAACAGCAGTGAGGCAGACTGATGTGTAAACGGATTTGGGACCAGGAGCCAGACCCAGTCACGCAGCCCCACCTCATGCTGGGGCCCACGGTTAAATCTGGAAAAGCGGGGGGGCCTGGTCCCAAACTCTGGCTCAGATTATGCGACAGTGCAGACTGCTCAGCTCCCCTCTGCTACCCACCCTCTCAGATTCCAGGTCCTGATGTCCACCCACCCCTCCAGGCCTGCGCAGCAGATGGCAGTGTCCAGTTTTCTCCCTCCCACCCCCAGCTGGAGGTCACTGGTGTTGGGTCTTCCTAGATGCCCGGGGGAAACCGGAGACAGGCAATGGCAGTCTGTCCAGCCCTGGAGAAGAGGAGGGGGAGGGCAGTCAAAAGTGGGGCATAGGTCCAGGCTTCAGGGATAAGATAACCAAGCCAAGTAGGGGTAGATGAGGTATGTTACAAACAAAGCAGAGAGCCTGCCATCTCCCCTGCTGGGATGACCACTGTTGCAGAGGGCTCCACCTCACAACCACCCACCAGCCTGCACCCCCACTCCCTCTCACCAAAGGCCCGGATCAGCTCTGCCCGCACAGCTGCAGTGAAGGTCTTCACCAGACAAAGAGTGGTGAGGCCCGCGAAGGCTGCATTGTAGAGGAACACGATGTAGAAATTGCCCAGCCAGTTGAAACGGCCAAAGTCACCCAGCAGGTCAAAGCGAGTGAGCCCTGAAGTACAAAAGCCAGGATGGGAGGTGGGCTTCCCAGCCCCTCCCTTGCCTTTCTGCTGCCTCCTGGTGGCCACATCTCAACACTGCAACTGATAGGTTGGCCTGGCCTATGCATTAATTATTCCTACCTCCCAAACTCTGTCTCAGGGGCAGTTTAGTCCTATTGAAGAAAAGCGTCAGCAGCTAGGCTTGCTTCAATTTCCCTTCCAGATTTTGGCATCATCTCCAATGGAGCCCCGCCTCCGGCTCCAGGTGCCCCGAGGAGCTCCCTGGGCCTACCACTTGTTCCTGGATCAGGAACCTACAAGCTGGTCACAAGTGTTTTTTAGTAGACAGAGCAGCGTGGAGGCTAAGAGCTCAGACTCTGAGCTGCTCTGGTTCATATCTGAACTCCATCCCTCACTAACTGTGGCAAATTCTTTCAACATCTGTGCCTCAGTTTCCTCAATTATAAAGTAAAGATAATAATGGGACTGTGAGAATTAAATAAGACAAGACACATAAAGCACTATATGAGGGGACACTATTCTAACACTTACTGAGCCCTTAATAATAATATTTTCATCATAAATGAAAATTCTGGGGCCCTCCCCCACTCTAAAACAAAATACTCCTACCTGCATCCAACCTAAAGGAACTAACCGATGGGCCCACAGGTCTAATTTCCCACTAAATGTCCAGGGGGTAAATACAAGTGGTCTAGTGGAGACAGCATGAACTTGAGAACCAAAGAGAACTGATGTAAATCCTAAATCATTTATAATATATGGATGATGGTGTGTGGAGGGGCGGGTACCTATGCCACTCCCATACTACTTTGGGGTAAACTAATTACATTTTTGAACATTTTTCTCAGGTAATTCTAGATCGTACCTCTAAAAATGGAAGAAGGCCCGAGTGTATTATTTGATACCCCAGTGTGTGGGAAAAGCACCGGGCTGGGGCTCAGGAGACAAGGGTTCCAGCCTGACTTGGCCTTGCCTCAAACTATCTGTATAATCCTGAGTAAATCAATTGGCTTCTCTGTGTTTTTTGTGTGTGTGTGAGGAAGATTAGCCCTGAGCTAACATCTCTTGCCAATCCTCCTCTTTTTGCTGAGGAAGATTGGCTCTGGGCTAACATCCGTGCCCATCTTCCCCTACTTTATCTGTGGGATGCCTGCCACAGCATGGCTTGATAAGCAGTGCATAGGTACGCGCTCGGGATCCGAACTTGCAAACCCTGGGCCGCCGAAGCAGAGCACACGAACTTAACTGCTACGCCACCGGGCCGGTCCTGGCTTCTGTTTTTTATCTTTAAAACGAGAATGTTTGGGGCTCGTGGTGTAGCGGTTAAGTGCATGCGCTCCGCTGCTGGTGGCCTAGGTTCAGATCCCGGGTGTGCACAGATGCACTGCTTGTCAGGCCATGTGTGGTGGCGTCCCATATAATGTAGAGGAAGATGGGCACCGATGTTAGCCCAGGGCCAGACTTTTTTTTTTTTTTTTTTTTGGTGAGGAAGATCAGCCCCGAGCTAACATCCATGCTAATCCTCCTCTTTTTGCTGAGGAAGACCAGCTCTGAGCTAACATCTATTGCCAATCCTCCTTTTTTTCCCCCAAAGCCCCAGTAGATAGTTGTATGTCACAGTTGCACATCCCTCCAGTTGCTGTATGTGGGATGCGGCCTCAGCATGGCCAGAGAAGCAGTGCGTCGGTGCACGCCCGGGATCTGAACCCGGGCCGCCAGCAGCGGAGCACGTGCACTTAACCGCTAAGTCATGGGGCCGGCCCAGGGCCAGTCTTTCTCAGCAAAAAGAGGAGGATTGGCATGGATGTTAGCTTAGAGCTGATCTTCCTCACAAAAATAAAATAAAATAAAATAAAATGAGAATGTTTATTAGATGATCCACCCCAAAGGAAGATTTGGGGAAAAGTGGTGCTTCTCCACCAAAACATGGATGTAAATGGGGGAGGCTGTGGGAGGCAGCAGATTGAAAAAGTATGAGCTTTGAAGCAACACTACTCTGAAGCTCAGCATAGGCAATTTACAGAGCCTCAGTTTCTCCATCTGTATAATGGGGATAATACCTCCTTATAGGTTTGTTGTGGGAATTAGAGAGAGCATAGATATATAAAGTACCTGCTTAGCACCAGTAGGTACTCAAAAAAAGCCAATTCCCTTACCTCCTTTTGCTACTTACCCAGGGTTCGAGAGAAGACAGGAAGTGCTGAGCTCAGGACCAGGAGGCAGACACAGTTCCCAATTATCTGGGTGAGAGTAAGGAAAGGGGAGATGAGGGTAGGAGCTCCAGCACCTAGTACACATGCATGTCCCCG